ACACACACACACACACACACACACACACACACACACACATATATATTTCTTTGTAGAGGTTTTTGCTTTAGGGCACTTACCTCACCAGAGAGAGAATGACAGAGACAGCGAGACAAAAATTAAGAAATAACTCCCCAGGGAGGATGGCCATGCCACAGTCTCCTCTCCTCTCTTCTCATCCTGGGATCTTGGGCACATATGCACATGCATCTGGCATGAGTCTCAAGCCACTGGGCCCAAGAATCAAACTGTGGTCAGCCATGTGGGCGTGCAGTAATGTGACCACTACACCATCTGCTGGCCCCTCAAAGAACGTATTTTACAATGATTTAAATGCAGGTTCCTGAGCTCGCCCTAGAGATTCTGCCTCCAGTAGGTCTGAGAGGTGGGCCCTGGAGTCTGGGGATTTAACTTGCTCTCTGGGTGCTGTTTATGTACACACTCTGAGAAACACAGACCTAAGTCTACACTTTAGGAATCGGGAAGGAAGCACCAAAGGTGAGGTTCTAAGTGCTAGATAAGAGACTTGGCTAAAGGAGAGGGCTCTGGAAGGTTTGGGCCTGCCCCGAGTGTCCGGGGTTGACAGGATCAATTACTGTGCCCATGGCTATGGGTGGCGTGCTCCCCCCTTCACCCCAGCTCCTCCTGCTCCCTCACTTTCCTGCTTTCTCAGCTTCCCTGTGTGTTCCTAGTACCCAGGGGCCTACCTGACCTTTGAAGTGGTGTCCTTGGTGCCCTATGACCGGAACCTCATTGATGTCAGCCTGCTGTCCCCTGAACATGTGAGTGACCTCAGGACTGCCCTCCCTTCAGCCTTCACCTACCCAGTTCAGGCCTTTCCTGATTTTGCTCCCCCAAGCCCCAAGATCTACTGCTCCTGCCCCTCTCCAAGAAGGGTCTACACTGGTGACCCTGTAGACACATACTGGGGTATCCTTCCCCAGCTCACCAGAGATGACAGAGCTTCTAGAACTTTCTAGATGGACTAGCCTGCCCAGTCCCAGGTGGTGAACCCCTGGGGAGCATGAGACTAAGCCCCTGAGTTTCATGGCTGCAAGGCCTGGAACTATAAGCCTCCTTTCCTCTCTCCATGCCTCAGTCTTCTCTTTTGTAAAGTGGGGTTAATAATGCCCACCCTTGGCCCAAGAGCCATGCCTCCACCCCATGTACATCACTATGACTTCACAATAGCCACCATGGGAACGGCCTCTGGAAAGCCCCAGAGAATGCCTGAGGCTTAGTGGTGGCTGGGGAACCCATGAGTCCGTGGCCCAGGGTGGGCAGCTGGAGCACCACAGGAGGGGGCCAGATGGCACCCAGACCTCACCTCCGGGCAGCTCAGCTTGGGGAGGCTCTCACCCCTTCCACCCTTTGCAGCTGCAGTACCTGAACCACTACTACCAGACCATCCGCGAGAAGGTGGGCCCGGAGCTGCAGCGGCGCCAGCTACTGGAGGAGCTGGCATGGCTGCAGAAGCACACGGAGCCCCTATCCGCCAGGGCCCCGGGCACCAGCCCCTTGGCCTCAGTGTTGGCAGCCTCCACCCTTGCCATCCTCGGCTGGAGGGCCTAGTGGGTCCAGAATCCCCTGCCGGTCCTCCGCCTGGATGTGGGGCTCACTCATGTGGCTCCCCTTGGCCTGCACCACACAAGTCCTGAGAGGCCCTGTTGGCCCATCACCTAGAAACCACAGCCCTCAGCCTCCTTCTCCAGGACCAGGCCCTAGGGATGCAGGGCTCCTTGATCCCAGGCAGGACCTACCTGAAACTGAGCAGGTGAGATAGGAGTTAGGCCCCACTTACAGGTAGATAGGATAAGGGCCCCAAAAAGAAGTCACTGTGTTTGTCTTTTTAATGAAGTCTCTGTGTTTTTCCTCTCTGGTCTGGTTAATATACAATATACACCCTTTTTACATATCTCTAAGGAATTTATGACTCCTTGCCGCCAAGGTGGGAGATAGGGATATAGAGCCACAGACAGGGTAAGGTCAAGATGGAGTCATAGTGGCTAAGTTTTCATAGCCAAGAGCTGGTTGCATTGGGACTCAAAGCAACTATTGCTAAGGGCGACAGTTTCTTTTTGGTAAGTATATTCTAACAAGAGGTACAGAACACTATGGTCTGCTAACCCCATGAAGAATAGGGTAGTAAATCAAACTACCATGTAACTGTTATCTAAAGTCCACTTCCTTATCAGGAAGCCAGCCCATTGCTCAGCCTGCTAGATAAAAGCCCCTTGCCTCCACTCCTTTAAGGGAACCCATTCAAGACCCCTCCCTCCTTGGGAGCTCTGTTCTTCCTTCCCCCTCTTAATAAATTCCACTTTGTTATCCCCTCACTGTGTCCTCATGTCTAAATCTTCATGAGCTTGTGACAGTAATCAGCATGGGTGCTGGGTCTGATCAACCAGCACTCCTGTGTCACAGAGACTTCCTAAGAGGGATGGTCCTCAGTTTCCCCTTCTATTAAAGAAAAAATAAGAATTTCCCAATCTGAGCATTGATAAGAGCTGAAATATTATAAAAGTAAGGTGCTTGGGGTACAAGGTCTATTTACATTGAAATGGCCCAAAGTAAGAGATACATCTTCAAACTTTGGTTATGGTAATTAAGCAACATTGGCCATAAGGCCAATGAGAGCCCTAAGACTTCTAAAATAAAACTCCCATTTAAAGGAAAGGTAAGGTTTTTAAAAATATTTATTTATTTTCCTATTATTTTTAAAATTTGTTACAGGGTACATAAGTTCACCAGACGGAGGAAGAAAGAGAGAGAGCATAAAAGTGAGAAAGCAAACTGCCACATCCAGGACTCAAACCATGGTTGGCCATGTGGGAGTCCAGTGCCTTAACCACCAGACCACCTGCTGTCCAGGGGGATAAGGTTTTTAACTTCAATACTTGAGATGTTTTGTAGGTGGAAACCGCTGGCTGTGAGCACAAAGACCCCAAGCTGAGTGACTTCAGAAACCCAAACAGAAATTTGATTATCTAAGGCAATCAAGAATGCCCATAAGGGGCCAGCAGATGGCATAGTGGTTAAGGTGCTGGACTTCCACGTGGACAACCACGGTTTAAGTGCTAAACCTGGCGGCTCAAAACTCACACCAGTTGCATGTGCACATGCATGCCCAAGATCCCAGGAGGAGAAGGGATTATAGTGTGGCCATTCCCCTGGGGTGACTTTTCACTTTTTCTCTGTCTCTGGCAAGCGCACACACCCTATAGCAAAAATCCTCTCAAAAAAAAGAAAGAAAAAAAAAAAAAAAAAAAAGAATGTAATGTCCTCTTGAACCGGTCATTAAATTGATCATGTACCTCAGACCTCTGCCCTTCATTTTGCTCGTAAAAACACATGTTGGGGGGGGAATCAGGAGAAAAAAAAAATACTGGGTTGTCCAAAAAGTCATGACTTGTTTTTCTTTCTTTCTGTTTTTTTCCTTTCTCTTTCTTTTTTTAGAGAAATTTTTTTGCTACAGGGCACATGCACTCACCAGAGAGACAGAGAGACAGAAAGTGAGAAATCACCCCGTAGGGGATTGGCTATACTGCAATCCCTTCTCCTCCACTCTCTTCTTAAGTTTGGGCATGCACACACATGTGCCCGGTGTGAATTTTAAGCCACTGGGTCCAGGACTCGAACCACGATCAACTATGTGTGAGTCCAGTGACGTAACCATTACACCATCTGCTGGTTCCCATGTCGTGTTTTTCTGTACAAAAATGCATCATGACTTTTTGGACAATCCAATAATAGATAAATATCTAAAAAAGAAAACAGCAAAAAAAAAGAAAAGTTATTTTTCATAGTGTAGACACACTTTTCACTTAAAGAAAAATAAAGTACAGTGAGAGAATAGCAGTGAGAAAAAAAGAGCATGTGGGAGGCACAGCAGGTGGTGTGGCCTTTAAGGTGCTGGACTCCTACATGGTTCGAGTCCCGGACCTGGTGGCTTGCTTTCTCACTTTCTCTCTCTGTCTGTGTGTGTGTGTGTGTGTCTATGTCTCTCTCCCTCTCTGGTGAGTGCATGTGTTCTAGACCAAGTTAAAAAATAATACTGGGGCTGGCAGGTGGCATAGTGGTTAAGGTGCTGGACTGCCACATGGCTGACTGCAGTTCAAGTCCCAGACATGGTGGCTTGCTTTCTCACTTCCCCTTTCTCTCTCTCTCTGTCTCTCTCTGGTAAAATTTAAAATAACAATAATAAGTAAAATAAATCTTTAAAAATAATAATAAATAAAATTAAATAATTCTAAAGAACAAATAACAAAAAATACGGCTATGGGGCACACCTTGGGGAGACCAGGTCTTTCTGGCATGAGCTGCCCGCTCTCTTCGCTTTGCGCATTGCAATAAAGCTGCCCTTTCCTTCATCACACTTGCGTCTGCAGTTTAGTTTGTAATGCTTGGGTGAAGTGAACGAACTTGATCTGAGTTCAGTAACACATACCCGAGCTGGGCTCATACATCTCACCCCGGGGTCTCAACCCCTGAGTCCCGAAAAGGGGAGCCAACTGCTCCCTTCTGTCCTGTGAGCCCCGTGGGCCTCTGTAATCTGCAGTCTGCTAGCGCTGTTCCCCAGTCTCTGAAAGACAAGTTTGGCCCAGGGAGAGATGAATTACCACCTGCTGCTCCACCCTCACTGGCTCCGCCTTTTAGATCTTCTAACACTGGGAGGCCGCCTCGGGCCACCCTGGCCTGTTCCCAGCCCTACAGTGATTTCCTGACTACAGCCCACCGCACTGAAGATCAGGGCTCCCTCTAGGCTGCCTGCCGCCTGGAGGAGGAGAGGAAAGGAGGGTGTCTGAGCCCTCCAGCTCCAGGCTTGGGGAGACAGAGAAGGAGCTGGGGAGGGGGAGGAGCTGGAGACCAGTCCAGGGCAGGCACCAGCCTCTCCCCACCACCTGAGCCCATCACTCCTAAACCCTGGGTGGGCTCCATGCCAAGTGACAGTGCAGGAAGGTAAGCTACAGGAATTCCGTGTTGGGTAAGAGGGGATGCAGAAGGCGCTCTGCAAGATGGCCCTGCCAGAGCTGGGGAGCAACCTGGCAGCTGTGCCAAGTCACTACCCCAACTTCCTTGGCATTCGGAAGCCCTTTAAACTTCCCAAAGTGCAGACATAGCGACAATACTAGTAAATCCTCCCGTGGGTTTGGACGGCCCTGAACTCACACCATGTGTGTTTCCCCATTTTTTTAGAGAGAGATTTTTTTCTATAGGGCCATTTTGCAGACAGGAAACGCGAACTCCACAAAGGGGTGGGCTCTGGCCAAGGACACCAGCGTCTGGCCAGGTGCTGGGGAGCCCAGCCAGAAGGGCAGGCAGCACCACGCAGGATCCCTCTGCCTACCTCCCAGCCCCCTCCTCCTCCTCTGAGCCCGTAGTGTGTTGTTGAGGGGGAGGTGAGAAGAGGTTTCTCCAGCCCAGTCAGCAGCCGTTAGCCACCTGGTTCACATCCTGCTCGATGCTTAAGCAGTTTGGCAAAGACGCCTGCCTCTGGGTCTGCAGTGCGTCCGCCGGAGACTGCTGTTACCTGTGGCTTTTGTGGTGGGGGAGGAAGAGGAGAGTGAGAGGTGGGGGTAGGGGTGTGAGGCTCCCAGGAGCTCAGTGGGGGAAGCACATGGGCTTGAGAATATACGTGTGAGCATGCGCGTGTGCAATGTGCACGTATGCACAGGCATGCCACGCCCAGCCAGCCATGTCCAGTCTGTGCTAAAGATGTTGTAACCTTGGGAGTGGGGGGTCAGGGGAGAGTTCCCTTATCAAACATGGTCCAGAAAAGTTAGGGCCAACACCTTTGCCCAGAAGAGCACAGTCAGGGAGTGGGAAAGAACTAAAGTCCTGGGGCAGAGAAGTCCCCCAGTCTGGGAGCAGCATGCCCAGTTTGCTGAGTGTAAGGTGACCCATGAGAGTTACCCACACTGGTGTTTGCATGCAAACACTGACCCACCTCACTGAGAAGCTCTAGTGCCCGAGGCTGGACCTCTGTTTGCTCTCTCACCTGCTGTCCCCACAAAGCCAGCTACTGCAAATAAAATTAAAGCCAACATCACCAATGATCATCACTACCATTGACGGGATGCTTGTGACGTACCAGGACGCAAAGGGCTTTCTGTGTGTTTTCTCATTTAGCCCTCACAACCTATGGGAAGGTCCTTTCACAAGGGGTCTTCGAAAAGTTCACACAACATGCCTATTATGAAAAAACTATGCGTGGATTTCCAAATGTTTGCACAAAAAATGAACTCATGCTTTAATTCTATTTCCCGCCAACTTTTTGCAATCTCCTGTATTCCCATTTTACAAGTGAGAGAACTGAGTGAGGCCCATAGAGAGGAACCAACTTGCTCAAGATCACTTTTTTTCATTAAGTAAATGACTAAAGCAGGATTCAAACGAGGCAGATGACTCCAGAACCCACTCTCTCAGAAAAGAGCAAGTACTACAGTTCTCACCACTTTACAGAGGAAAAAACTGAGCTCAGCTAACATCACGTGGCTGGTGGCCAACAGAGTCCAAGCCACACTGCCTCCTGAGAGCCTGCCCACCCAGATCTCTCCCATGTGCCCCGACACTTGTTCCCAGGGTTCTGGCAAGTCATGGGCAGCAAGAGGGCACAGGGCACCTGACCAAGACCCATCACAGACCTTTCAGCCTGAGGCAGCTTGTGGGTTCCCCATTCTCTGTTTGGCACAGGACCCAGGACTCTGCCTCATCTCTTCCCCTTAACTTAAACTGCCCCTTCCTACCTGCCATTTTGAAATTGAGAGCCCCAGCCCCAGAAGCAGTGCTGCAAAAAGGGCCACAGCAGCTTATATGTAGCTTCTCCATTCCCTGGGACCGAGATGGCCAGCAATGACTGTTCCTGCTCTAAGAGCTTTGCTCTGGGTCTGGCAGGGAGACATTCAGGGCACGCACTGTGGGGCTAACACACGCAGGGGCTCTTGTGACATCATTAGGAATTGAAGATAAATAAATAACTCCCCATTTGGGCCCACCCTTGTTTGTACAAGAGGTAGCCTATTTAACTGCAGTGCTGAAAGTCACATGGCTGACTGCAGGTTCGAATCCCCAGTTATCCAGGAAACATGCCAGGTGTGTGTGTGCTCAAGATCTTAATGAGCTGGAGGGCTGGGGGAAAGAGATTGTCATGTGACCAGGTCTCGTTGGGGATGCTTCTCTCTCTCTCTCTCTCTCTCTGTCAGTCTCTCATACACACACATACATATGCATGTACATGCTTCTTCATGAATAAAATAAACTTTTAAAGTAAATAGGGGCCAGCAGGTGGCATGGTGATTAAGGTGCTAGACTCCAACATGGCCTATCATGGTTTGAA